CCCCGAGGGGGCCCCTCTGAGGAAGCCCCTGTGTCTTTCGGGGAAGAAACGCGTTAGGGATAACGTGTATCGAGCCCTCCTTGAATGCCCATCAACTACTCTGCTGACAGCGCCGGCTGTTTGAAGTTTTTTTCAAGATACGAGTAAAATCAGCTACATTATAACAGGAGTGGATTCGGTGGCCTGTTTGGTATATTGAGTGTACGCTACTTGTCCCTGCTTAGTGGACGCTGGCAGATTTCTGACCCGCTACGAGAGGGATATACGAGCTACGGAAAAGCTGACAGATCCCCGACCCGCTACGTGAGTGATATACTATCTATGGAATTCCATTCATCTGCTTCTCCCAGTGCGGCCGCACGTGTGGAATAAAAGCCTTTCATCTCCATTACGGAATACACCAATTGTCATCACTTGGTGGGCGGAAGCCAGTATAGAGGACCGGCAATAGCCCCTGAAGTGTGCATACAACACTAAGGATGCGATCCTCTGGAATTCAATAACAGACCGTCGAGACAAACTCTGTGGACAAATTTGTTACCTGCTGGATACCATCTTTCTCAGGAACTGCCTCATCATGCAATTTCATCATAAGTGAGTACATCTCTTTTTTGATACTCCTAAATCCATTTTTTTCTTCAAACACAGCGCTTGGATCAAAAAACCCGTGACTCTTTGACCACTTTGATGGTTATTATATTATCAGCACTACTTGACACTTTGGGCCATATCAGGGAGGATTACATTTTATTTTCATTTATTTTTAATAAATATTTAATTTTTTTTACTTTACTGTTGGGGGCTTCGGGGAAATGTTAGGGGTATAAACAGATCTTCTGATATTTCTCTTTTAAAATAGAAAAAGAGATTGTGGACACAGAGTCCTCTATCTCTTTTTCTGCAGCCCCTGTTATAACTGAACACGAATCCTCTATGCTGAGTGTTCCTGTTCATTCATAACTTGAGGACATAGTATGTTTACCATGTCACAATCATGAATGAACAGGAGGTGATGTAGATCACTTCCCATTCATTCATAATTGGGGATACAGGAAACATACTATGTCCTCAGTTATTTACAAACACTCAGCCATCACTGACTGCTTGTACCTCTCTCCAGCCTGACTTGCTGTCACAGGAGGCTGAGCAAGCGGTGCGGGGAGGAAAGCTGACTCCTCCCCTGCACCGCTGGCCCGGCCTCCTGCGGCAGCCGACAGCTGTCTCCACCCCCACACCGCACTCCTGATCTGTCACAGGAGGCTGAGCGGGGCGGCTCCCCTGCACTCCTCAGCCTCCTATGACAAGTTTCTCACCTCCCTGCTGGATGCTGTGCTGTGTCAGAGGGGACACAGAACAGTGCCCATCAGGGAGGAGAGAAACCAGGCATGCACTGCAATTTCGGCCAAAAGTGCAATTTTTGCCTGATATGTTTCGAGGGCCAAAAAATTTTGGTGCATTCCTAGTTTTAACACTTCCCCACTCTATGCCAAACTAAAATAAACAGGTGTTGCCTGAAGTTGGACTTTAAGAATCAGATGTCACACATTTAAAGGGTTATTCACAAAAGGGTGAAGGGGTTGGAGAAGGCAGGAGAAGTGAACAATCTAGGACAACATATCTGATTCGGAAAAATTCTCCAATTCAGCTCACTTTCCAGTTCAGCTATGTTGTCCTAGATTGTTCACTTCTCCTGCCTTCTCCAAACTCTTCACTCTTTTGTGAATAACCCTGTCAGAAACATCTTGCAATGTGCAATATCACTGTTAGTTAAATCACCCTTTGTATGAAGCAGTAACATGACACAGAGGATTTTGCTACTGTTGGAACCCCAATATATTTGTTAAAGTAGTATTAAAACACACTTTTTTTTTTTACAATAATAAATCCAGATCACACAAATATACATTGCCCAGCAAGGTATTTCTTTACACTTACAATCATGTTTCCAAATAGCTTCAACTCTCTCTCAGCTCCTCTTCCCTGAACTTCCTGTCCAGTACTAGATCACAAGGAACAGCACAGTCTCCAGCAGCCATCCATCTACTAGCTTGAAGAAGGGAGGATGGAGGCGCGGGAGGGGAGGGACTTCCCTTGCTGTGCCTGTGTGTTTGTAGAGAGACACACAGATTACTAGCACACACAAGGGTGGCTCCATAGGACCCTGCAAGGGAAAGGAGCCACCCTACACCAGGATATCAGGGCCGGTGCTCAGATGATCCTGCAACAAGCTAAAACCTTTAAACATCAGGAAGCACTGTAAGTGATTTATCATGTTTCTACACTGGAAAACTGGCAGAGCCTAATCTTTATCTTATATCTTTCCTCCAGCATTGTAGTCAATTTTACTTGGTGAGTCATCTGTAGGACTTCCTGTAGTGAGGTGACAATCATCACCCCCTTCCAATGCAGCAGTGGAGTTGCCACCATTAGTACATACTCCTGCTGTAGGACTACAGGACACTGTGACTTGTGCATATAACCATGCCAATCACAGCTATCCAGCTATACTGCCTGATAGTGATATCATTGAATGTAAAAAGCCAGTGCAGCTCAGGAGGTAGTCACGTGACCACTAAAAAAAGCTACTAAAAAAAAAAAAAAAGTGCTTTGGGCCTTTTTTTTTTTTAATGCAACAGCGAAGACTCATTCCTATATGCCTGCATTATACTCTGCTTGTTGATCAACCTTTATCTTCATATCTACTTTAACCTCCCTGGCGGTCTGATTATGTCAGTATTTTTTCTTTTCAATTTTTCACTTTTGAATTTCCCGCCGGTTCTGCCCCCCTGCTACGCTGGCGCTCACAGGGAAGGAACCCGGAAGACGGATGCAGGCATCGGCCGGAGGACACAGCGGGGCTCGTAGGGACAAGGTAAGTGACGCTACAGTGTAATTCCGAGTGTGGCTCGGGGTTAACCGCTTTTGGTACTGAAAATTAACCCCGAGCCACACTAAGGATTACCGCCAGGATGGTTAAAGCTGAACTCCGGGAAGATATAAAAGACACAAAATAATGCAGCTCTGTGTACATGAATACATCATGAAATGTATTTTTCAAACCATTTAGTGTAGAGATAAGCTCATTAGGCTGCTTCTGCTTTCAGAGCCCATTCACATCATATGTCTTGGGGTTGCGCCGGACATTGTTTCCAGCACAGCCCCAACGCAAGACAAGGCAATTTGCCGAACATCTCAAGTGCGCCCGCCCCATGGCCCTTTGCGGCCGCCCGAGACTCTTCAGATGTTTGGATGGGAGCGCGCGGCGAAGACACAGGTAAGTTTAAACCTGTTTGAAAAGGTTTTTTTTTTTTCAGTTTTTGCATATATCTATCACTTTAAGCCTAAAATCATGTGCAGTATATCATATCACAAGATACACAATAGTACACAACTACTGTGTCAATGTTTCCATTATCTTTCTTCATGCATGCATTTGTGAATGGAATAATGGAATAACAACATTAAGCAGGATAACAGTGTAGAAGGATATCCTCTTACACTAAATAAGCCACAAGACCTGGACAGAAAATGGCTCTGCATGCTTTTAAACAGTAATGGCCTATTTCTTTAGCACACTAATCAATGCATCCAAGTCTAGGTGTGGTGTTTTTTCAGAAGTCATAGTAACTGGGCTAAGGTGCAAAGCACAGAAAACACTAACAGGTTTTACAAGGAAAATGTGTAAAAAAATAAAAAAGAAGGTGCCTGCAAGGAAGTTTGAGTCAAATGCAAATGTGACCTTAAAAACTTAAAATAACAGCTTTACAATAATCTGGATCGGTTCCAGGCAAACTGCTCAGAAACAATGAAACCAAAATGATGAAAAGTGATTTTTGACTTTTTTTTTTTTTTTTTAAATTGTGAAAGTGTGCATTTTTACAATCTTCTACTTGAAATGGAGTGTTTTATAGTTTCTAACACGTGTGCAGTATTACAGATAACACAATATAAAAATGACTTACTGTTCTGGTTACAACTGTCAAACTTTAGCTTTCCGATCACTTATATTCTAAAGCTGTTCTAAAGCATACACACTGTTATGATTTCGGCAGATTCCTGTGAAACTCTTATCAGTGCCGGCTCGACCAAAGTTGCTTGAGTAAGGAGGGGTGAACATTTCCATCTGAACAGTAACTACAGTCAATCAAATACAATCAATCATTCTTCAGGTATTTTGACTAACACGGTCCCATTGACATTGGAGGCAACCTGTTAGCTTCTGTTTGTTCAGCCCGCAGACTAAACGAAAGAGATCTAATAGTGTATGGCCAGCTTTAGGGCCAGCCAGTTCACACAAGGGCCGTGCATTAATTGCAACACACGGTATGGCGGTACCGCGCATTGCAGCACAGTGAAGCAGAGTGCAGCCAGGAGATGTGTTTGGGGTGCCACTGCAACACACCTGCTGCACTGTCACCCACGGTAGGTGTGTTGCATGGTACCGTGCATTAATCACATGAAAACGTGCAATATATGCACAGCTCTGGTGTGAACGGGCCCTTAGTGATGATGGTAACTAGGACAAATAGAAGTAAATCACAGCAAGAAAAACCTGACGGGGGTTCTAACTAATTTCTAAACACATTTTATTCAAAACCAGAAAAAAAGGTTTTGGCTAGACATACACTTTAAAAACAGGCCTATCGTCATTACACCATCCTGCTCCCCAAAAGGAAAAAAAAAAAGTAGTAGTTCTGAAATACCAAAGCTGAGGAAAAACTGCTTCAGGATCCCATGGCAGCCAAGGCATTGATCTTGTGATCAGTCACCATGAGTAGAGGTTCCTGTAGCAAATATAGTAAAATACTTCAAGACTTCTGCTAGTTGTCATCATATTCTAGGAGCCAAGTGGGGGTGTCATAAGAAAAAAATTGCCAATGCTGACTGGTGAAAATGCTAGTTCCCTGGCTGTCAGGTTGATTGACGCTTTGACTTCCCTGGTTTTCAGGTCACCGACCCCAAACACATATAGCGATGCGGATTTTCTCAGACTCATGCTTGTTCTCAGTCTGTTACACATGTATTCTCTACTGTTGGAACCCTTCAGTGTTACAAAGCTAAGCAATAAGTTAACATAAGCCACACTTGCTAGATGGCTGTAGGTTCTGAATGATATGGTATGACTCGATACAGAAGACCACCATGGAAGATCGTGTAATGAGCCTCTTTGCTCAGTTTACTTTATATTACGTACTGCACTGCCTGCTATCGTAGTTTGCAACAACAAAGTTACTGGGAATTCACATCCACATATCTAGAATATAAAAATAGTATCACTAATGACCATCATTTCCAAAAAAATCCTTTGTGGTGCGTCTATCCTAAAACCTGCCAGAAAGGAAAGCAGGGCCTCTAATGAAAGATCTGGTAATGAGTATTCTTCATTTTATGTACTGTACTGCCTGCAGGCTGCACAACAACAACGTTACTAGGAATTCAAATAATCATTTCTAGAATAGAAAAACAGTTTCACTAAGAAAGGAAAGATCTGTGGTGTCCCTACCCTACAGACCTGCCAGAAATATTTAGAATTCTACTACAAATATTTGGTTCCTTACAGTATAAAAGGAACAGGTCAACAAGTCAGTCAACATGTATGTTTTAAAATATATCTAATGTCGGCACCACCTGTGTAGAAAAATGTTAAAATCAAAAGTGCTTATTTTTGCCTAGGGTAAAAAATAAAAAGTTATGCTCACTCAATGCTCTTAGACCAGTCCCTGGAGCCTCTCTCTCCCCCTTCCCTGCATCGATCTAAGAGTAAATTAATTCTATTCACAGGGTATAGAATGTGAGGACACCAAGGGACATACCATCACTGCAGTGCAGGAGTCAGGCAGGAGTGAGTGCGGAGGTTCAGGGGAGTATAACTTTGTGATTTTTGAATCTAGGCAAAACAAGCACTTAACCTTTGCAGTGGAAAAGGTGTGGGTAGTAGCCCCACTGTAAGGGTTAATAAAAATGTTGTTCTCAAAGCTGTGTATGGCTAGCTTAGTCTTTACTACTCTACCCAACAATACATGCATTTGCTTCAAATTCACTTTATATATCCCACCCATTACAATGATACCACTGATGACTATCAAGGCAAGAAATCTTTAGTCCTACAGTTATTATTGTACTACAAGATATTAGCTTTCTAACAATATTGATAAAAGGTAAAGTCAGCAAAACCCTGATGACAGCAATTGTCTTCAGAGCAACACCTCTCTGTTTGTGTGTGTCAACAGGTCCATGAAAGTAGAACTGTGCTGTCGCTTAGGAAGAAGTAATCCCAGCTTGTCCTCAGGGTTTACATGCAGCGCGATCTCACTTACCTTTGTGTGGGTGTCCGCGTAAGGGAGGTGTCATCCTACTGGGATCTTTCTTGGCATTCTCCCCACCTCCACCTATCATCCTTGGCACCAGGAAGCACAGGCACAGTGCCAGGGACACTACCAGGAGAATGTGCTGGGAGCTACTTAGCACCATAGTGTCCTCCCGGTGTCCCCGCACACACACTGACACTCACACAGTCCGGGCTGTGCCCCACGCCTCGCTCTGCAGCTGATTGGCTGGCCCCGGAGAGTGACGTGTCTAAACTGGGGAAATGTATGCACACTTAAAGCATCATACAGAACAGGCCTTTGTGACCAGAATAACATAAGGGACGTTCCCTCCCGCACATATATTCTAGTACCATATTGCACGGATGGAGGTGATATCAATGCGGTGTAATATACTAGATAGGAGCCGTCTAATTGGCTCTGTCTGTCTTTGCGTTCCACGCTGGAATGCAAACACTCCCCCTGTGTCGCATGTGGTTTCCATGGTGACAATTGCTTCGCCTGGACAAATCAACTCATTGGTGCTTCCTGCAACTGTGTGTGACCCCCGCGATCAGAGCAGTGACCAGGTAAGTTCGTACCTTTATCAAACACTAAGGTCTTCAAGGGAGTCCTTTTAGGAAAGGCACACGGTGCTTAGGCCCAGGTCCGAACGAGGTTGCCTTTTGCAGAAACAAACCTGCATAACCAATATGTTTGCATTATATTACATTGCATTATTATATACTTATCAAGTTATTTTTGTAATGTTACAAAACATTTTGGGGAATGCTTCCTAAAGAGTACCAGTCCTGAATGGATTGCAAAAAAATCAGAATATTCACGTTTACGAATTGAGCTGACTTGCTCATAAAAGATACATACTTTCCCACTTATTTAGCTGTACTTTAATCTTAAAGTAATATTAATTACAATACAATGACAGTTGCCACCTACCGCAGCTGTTTGCAGGCTGTTCGCAAGTAATCGCACATGCTGCATTACCTGCGGACGACCGCATCTCAATGCAGACTGTTTGCGTCCAGGTACGCATATCCGCAGGTAATCTCAGCATGCACTGCCGATTTTGGATTTTTAAACAGTGATTATAAAATGATGTGCAGAGTCCTGCATTCCTGACTAGTATAAAATCTAAGCAGCAATGCCAATTATGAAAACATTGTAATAAACAAATGTGTATTAAGGATGCATTGTGCTTTTAAAGTGTGTACACCCCTACTAGTTAAATATATGTGAATAGATGTGGCCGTCAGGTTTCTTCACAGCGGGACTTAACTTGATGGACATTTGATTGCATATTATGAACTGGGTAGATTTTGAAGGATATTTCATTGCACTTTATAATGTAATAAGATTAATATGTATTTTATGCACGTTGGGCAATCTATTTATGTATATTTCGTTAGTAGGGTGCGTACATACTTCTAGGGCGCAGTGCATCTTTAATACACATAAAGCGAGCCATAAGTATTTATTTTTAACATTTTTACATTTCAGAATGACTCTTGAGATAAAGGGAGTAGCCGCCACTCCTAGAGGTCATACCCAGTCTTCATCAAAATCTCATCTTGCCAAGGTATAATGTTCCAGCCATCATTCTGTAATATTCAGATCTATGGAATTAGTTTAGCTGTGTTTCTTAGAATATGATATGCAAAACTGGAATGTTAATAATGTGGTAGAGCATTAGGGTTCAGAGAAATGTAATGCAAATGTTATGTGAGCACTGGTTTATGTTAGATAAAGTGTTTGGAGTGGAAGGTCATACTTAAAGTGACACTAAACTCAGGAGTTAAATCTTAAAACTGCATTCAAGTATACTAACAAACATGTATCTTATTTGTGTATCACTCAGCTGTAGATCCTCAAATCATCTCTGAATTCATGCTGACACTGTCCTTCCTTCTGGAGGGTGGCTACTTTTGTTCCCCATGGTGCCTGTGTGTGTTGTAAAGTAGTCACCGCTCCAAGCTCACTCCTGTGATGGACTACAGTCTCATATTTAGTTTACTAATTTGTATTAATATTATAGTCTATCATAGGAGTGAGCTTGGAGCGGTGGCTACTTTACAGCATAAGGAACATTGGGAACAAAAGTAGGCACCCTCCAGAAGGAATGACAGTGTCAGCATGAATTCAGAGATGAATTGAGCATCTGCAGCTGAGTGATACAAAAATAAGATACATTATTGTTAATAGTTAAAATACTTGAATGCATTTTTTGTAGGGCTGTGGAAATTAAAGATTAATTTGTCGATTAATCGTTAAACTTTTTGATCGATTAAAATTATTTTGATCGCCAATGAAAACACTCACCTCTCTGCCGACTTCCGGGAGTCCCGTCGGCGATCCGGTGACGTCGTGGACATCGACGTCACCGGACTCCTCCCCCTTCCCTTCGTTAGCCGACGCAGCCACTTGGGGAAGGGGGAGGAGTCCTGTGACGTCGATGTCCGTGATGGCTCACGAAGGGAAGGGGGGAGGAGTCCGGTGAAGTCTATGTCCGTGACGTCACCGGACTCCTCCCCCCTTCGTTAGCTGACGGAGCCACTTGGGCCGAGGAATTAGTTTAGCTGTGTTTCTTAGAATATGATATGCAAAACTGGAATGTTAATAATGTGGTAGAGCATTAGGGTTCAGAGAAATGTAATGCAAATGTTATGTGAGCACTGGTTTATGTTAGATAAAGTGTTTGGAGTGGAAGGTCATACTTAAAGTGACACTAAACTCAGGAGTTAAATCTTAAAACTGCATTCAAGTATACTAACAAACATGTATCTTATTTGTGTATCACTCAGCTGTAGATCCTCAAATCATCTCTGAATTCATGCTGACACTGTCCTTCCTTCTGGAGGGTGGCTACTTTTGTTCCCCATGGTGCCTGTGTGTGTTGTAAAGTAGTCACCGCTCCAAGCTCACTCCTGTGATGGACTACAGTCTCATATTTAGTTTACTAATTTGTATTAATATTATAGTCTATCATAGGAGTGAGCTTGGAGCGGTGGCTACTTTACAGCATAAGGAACATTGGGAACAAAAGTAGGCACCCTCCAGAAGGAATGACAGTGTCAGCATGAATTCAGAGATGAATTGAGCATCTGCAGCTGAGTGATACAAAAATAAGATACATTATTGTTAATAGTTAAAATACTTGAATGCATTTTTTGTAGGGCTGTGGAAATTAAAGATTAATTTGTCGATTAATCGTTAAACTTTTTGATCGATTAAAATTATTTTGATCGCCAATGAAAACACTCACCTCTCTGCCGACTTCCGGGAGTCCCGTCGGCGATCCGGTGACGTCGTGGACATCGACGTCACCGGACTCCTCCCCCTTCCCTTCGTTAGCCGACGCAGCCACTTGGGGAAGGGGGAGGAGTCCTGTGACGTCGATGTCCGTGATGGCTCACGAAGGGAAGGGGGGAGGAGTCCGGTGAAGTCTATGTCCGTGACGTCACCGGACTCCTCCCCCCTTCGTTAGCTGACGGAGCCACTTGGGCCGGTGAGTTTGCCCAAGAAACTTTCTACTCAAGCAACAGCCAAGGCATTGGCCTATACACATACAGCACAGCAATGAAGTAATAAAATGAACTAGGATCACACTAATCCAGCACGTTATTATTCCGTGTTGCCCCACTCAAGCGGCGGCCATATTGAGTGGGGCACGTGAGATTATAGGCCAATGTTGTTGGATCTGTATGTGCGTTATAATTAATCGAAATTAATCGATTATTCGATTAAAACAAATTTCGATTAATCGAACACGAAAATTTTAATCATTACCAGCCCTAATTTTTAGGATTTAACTCCTGAGTTTGGACTTGATGGGTTGGGTTGGGCTTGATGGACTTATGTCTTCAACCCCAAATACTATGTAAGTTTAGTGTCACTTTAAAGCAACCACTCTCTTGTTCAGACCTAAAAAAACCCTCTACAAATTAAATTGTGGCAGATCCTATCGGATTAAAATTGGTTGAACAAAGAAGAACCCCTTTAGTCTGGATCAGGATGTGCCCCCAACTGCCATCATCTTGTCTCCACTAGGTGTGGAGGAGTGGGTGGTGGCTGTGTGCAGTCAACTGTAGGTAAGGATATCTAATGATACAAGTACATATGAGAGCCTAGGCTGTGTTGGCATTTTGGGTGGGTTTTAATGTCAACCAAGGCAGAGTCAGTATTTTCAATTGCAGTTCAACCAGAGACCAATCTCTCTGACTGTGGATTGCATACAAACATGAAAGGGACAAAGTAAAGCCTAGTAATTGCAGAGTATGTGCTATACTTTGGTTTATTAGCTTGACATGGTCAGAGGTTCACTTTAAGAAATATTAAAGTTGACTTATCTGACCATGTTTTATGTTACACTCATATTCAAGGTTACTTACATAAATCAAGGGGTTCTTTTCCCTGCAGGCTATTGTATCCTTTTGAATTCAGCGTGGCTGTGCTTGGCTCATCATCCATTCATGGAACCTTTGACAAATTATGTGACTGGAGAATCTACAAGCCCCATCAGCCACTGTGGCAGAGGCACTTGTAGTTCTCAAATGGAATACAATTGAGATGATATCACTGTAATTTTTCTCCATTCATACGTCCTCCCATCCATGAATGTTTGTACTGAGGTATGGACATGAGAAAGAGTCTGCAGGAGCCTGAGCATTGCATCCGAGTTCCGCTGATCACGGTTGCCATACTTTAGTAGTTCCAATGTAAAAAAAAAAAAAGAAATATAAGAAATACACATTTTTCTTTTATGAAGAAATTTGCATTTATTATTTTTTTCTACAAGGTAGACTTTGCCTTTAAAGGGACACTTTTGCTCTGCCCAAAAATATATAAGAGTAAAATTATTAGGCTGTGTACACAATAGATATACTGCAGGGAGTGAGAAGTGTAAAGTCAAATAGCACAAATTACAAAGACAATGCACAGTTTCTTACATCCCAGTTGTACATTAATAGGTAAGGACCACATTTTAGACCCCTTAATCCTCAAATGAGTGGAATAAGGCTGGCTTTGGTCACATAACACTGTGCCCAAAACTACAAAATGCTGCATATGTAACGTATGTCCCACTGACATTCATGGATTATTAAAGTACCATACAGTTTGCTTGCCTCTTTTAACCTACCTCTTGCAGTTTAAAAAAATAAAGGTTTGTTGAGTTTTACTAAACAATAAGAACAGTAGAGGTACAGTAGGTACTGCAGGTCATAATTTCATATGCCCAAGTTATACCAAACGCCAGAATTGCAATAAGCTGAATATGAATGTATAATAAAACATGGTCAGAAAAGTAAACTAATCCTTCAACATTTGATTTATATTTTACAGTGTAAATTCTATGTTGTCTGTTAGGGCAGGTACATATGGGCCATAAATGCATGAAGGAACGGACACAATTTCCTTGCTTTATCAAGTGCTTGTGGGATGAGAAGCGGCTTATGTTAGTGCTTATGTGGCTAACTTAAGTCAATTGCAGGATTAATAGGGTTATTCACAAAAGGGAGAAGAATTTGGAGAAGGCAGGAGAAGTGAACAATCTAGGACAACGTAGCTGAACTGAAAAGTGAGCTGAATTGGAGAATTGTTCCAAATCAGCTAATTGTCCTAGATTGTTCACTTCTGCCTTCTCCACACTCTTCACCCTTTTGTGAATAACCCTGTAAGTCACAACCTAAAACACAGTACAGTCTTTCCCAGCTTGTTGTTGAGGGTCGCCAAACGCCACCTGTTAGAACCCCTGTGGCCCTCTGTGGGTAATCCTGTTTGACCTTTAGTTAGACGCTGCTGTCATTTCACTGCTCTGTTTCATACAGTTTAAGCTGAGTAGCACAGTCAACACTACAAAGCAGGTGTAGGACACATTGGCACTCCAGCTGTGGTGAAACTACAAATCCCATCATGCTTCCTAGAGTTATGTCTGCAATACCTCACGGGACTTGTTCCACAACAGCTGGAGTGTCGAGGTTGCCTGCCCCTGCTCTAAAGCATCTATGCAGTTTAACTGATGAACACAATTCTGTAGGTATGTGTAGACTTTAACTTTTGTAATCCATTATCAAAATAAATAAGAAAAAAATGCATTTCTACCAAGGGGTATTTCCTTTTTACAAATTAGGACTGCTGTTGATTTCTGAAGTGAAATGCCTGGATTTTGTTAAATGTAATAAAGTTATTTTAGTGGCTACAGACCTGAAGTCACGTTGTCATTTTGGCTAACATATTGAATATCTCTTCACTGGTGCAGGGCTGGCGATCACAGTCACAGGCTGCTGAAATTCGACCACCTGAGTAAGTACATGGCATCACTGTGCAATTTACATAAAACATTGACATCACTCAGTACTAGGAACACAGGGGCTGAAGTCTCCTCTGTGTAAAGCTGGCCATACACCTTACAACCATCTCACAACTTTCGTCTTGCGATGGTTGTAAGGTAATTACAAGCTTGTACGATCTTCCCATCTTGGATAGCAGATCGTACTTGTGATCAAGGGGAGGGCTTCGGATAACTGCAATGCTGAGTGGGCAATGTGCGCTTGCTCACACCGGCCCGTGCGGCATTTGTCTTACGAGCACGCCACTAACCCGCCGAAAATCGTACGATTTTTGGCTGGTTTTCCAACGTGCTCGTTATACAGTAGAAACGGTTGCACGCCTTCCATACACCTGCTGATTATCATACGAGAATCGGCTGGTGTATGGGCACCTTAAGACAGACATTAACCCTTTCGCTGCCAAGGACGTATGGCATACGGACCTACAAGAGCCATCCCAGGGAGGGATGAGAGTCTCCATGGATCCCCGCTGCTTGTAGGGTCTATGGCAGCGGATCATGCCCAGCATGCTATGAGTGCAACAATCTATCAGTTAATCAATCAGTCAAATTTGGCTTTGAATTGACCAGTCCAAATGATGAGCTCAAATTCCTGTTTATCTATACAAACCAAACAATATAAAAACAAGCAGTATATTCAATACGTTATTTATTTAGCATCATTTTATACAGCGGTGAATTTTTTATAACTAAAACCTGAAGGCACAGTGTACTTTGCCCACCTAGTTCCATCATTTGATATAATTTTTTGTTGACAAAGAGTTAGTTAATTATTATTGCAGTGTATTTTTGTGCCCCAAAAATATAACATCAATTTGTTTCTATGTGCGTACATATCCATAAACAATTTTAAATCAGTGCTCTAAGGCCCCTTTCACATGGGCATTCTGATCAGGTCGGCCTGTCAGTTTTTCAGTGGATTCAGACTGATATTTAACTGAAAAAGTTTAAAATCTTTTCTGAAAGTCAGAACCCTCAAAATCAATTTAGTTGAAATTATAACTAAAGTTCTTTGCCCAAATGACTGTCTCCTCTCAAGTTATTTGCAAGAGACCCACACATGTCAATTTTTCAGCACCATCAAAAGTATCTGAGATATTCCATTATGGGTCAACACTTACAGTTCCAAACATTTCTGTTTGGATTTACCACAGCCCCAAGAATCTTTTCAAAAGTCCTTCTGGCTCTGGTAGCTTGATTTCTCAAGTGCCCAACTTTACCATTATCCAGATTACTTTCTCTTGAATGTGGGGAAGAACCAACTTGTGGCAGTCAGATTGTACTCTGAAACATCTGCAAAATTTTGGTTGGCTGGTGAACAGACAGCAAAACCAATGTATTCCCTCCAAGTCTCTTCAGTATCTCAGAGTCCAGTTCAGCACTTGAGAAGGCAACGTCAAGCTAGCTACCTAGAAGGTTTGTTTGATTGAAAAATGTTTTAGAAAGGTCTTACCTCTCTATCTTTTAGCCCACCAATACATCCACCTTCTAGGGCAGACTCTCAAACATCCTGGAGCTGAGGGCAGCTTCCATGGCCCTAAAATCTTTTGAGTCTCTCCTGAGGGGTTGCAAGGTCAGATTGTGAATGAACAATTCCACCGCAGTTTCAACACACTGTTCGGCGCTCATGGTTCCGATGACAATATACCCTGTCAGTCCGCCTGATGATGGAATCTCCCACCTCCAGGATCTTCCTCTCATGACCCTCCATCCTGCTCCCATCCTCGCCAGAGTAGTCACTCCCCCTGCGGATAGAGGATGCGTCCTGCTTCAGCAGTGTCCCCCCTGAACTGGTATCCCCAACATCATGCAACTTGGCATATTTATTGGGGTGAATCAGATCAGGGCTGACCTCTCTCGCACTCTTCCCTCTCCCCCGCCTTCTAACAGTAACCCAGCTCCCCACCTCAGGATCCTGCTCCTCCGACCCCCCCCCCCTCATCCAGACCACCCTCCATGACAGCCTGGTGCGTTATGTCCAGACTCCTTTCCATTTAATTAATTCTCAAGGTTCTCTAAAAGATGCAGGAGTATAATGTAGAGGCAATAACGATCATCCTTTTCTAGCCTCGTCATGCCTGGTTTCTGCTGCAGGGGAATTAGAAGACAATAGCTCAATGTTTTTTTCTGATGAGAGAAGATCTTTCACTCCAGGGTCCTCTAAATCAGAGAGATGGCCAGGTTGACGTTAGTAAGCTGGAGGTTGAGAGGCGAAGTCTAGAGAAGAAGAGAAAATCACAGTCAGTGATGACGGGGAGTACATGCCGATGACGTAGGATGTCGAGTTCCAGTGTCTCCGCCGGACACGAGCGCAGCCGATGGAAGTAGTGGCCGGATTCCTATAGCTCCATACCCTGCTCGTCGGTTACTCAAGCAATATCTCCTATGTTCCCCACGAATGAGAGGGAAGAAAAAACGGCAACAGCCGCAGCCTGCCGCCCAGATGAGACGGAACTCCACGACACGAATTGGGACTTATTTCACAGGTACTCGATCACGGCTGTCACAGGGAGAGGGGGTAAAGATGGCGGCACCTGTCTCCCCAGTAGTGACAGGCCGTGACCATATTAATGCACAGGACTATGTTACAACTGATAAATCTGCATTTATCTCTGCCCAGGTTTCTCCTGGCGGGAGGCAGGGGGCAATAAAGAAAACAGGGCAGACTCCATATACTCATGTGCTGATGCAAGAAGGGGAAGAACAACAGGACATTAGGGAATGTTTACGTTCTCTCCAAAATAAGGAAGATATGGAAGGTTATATAACTTGACTGGAAGCAACATACAAGGAGGAGCTGCAGGCTATAAAAGTGGACATTACAAATATTGGAGAACGGGTAAGCGGTATGGAGGAGAGCATGGACATATATTTGTCTAGATTAAACACACACCAGCAGACTATTAATAAGCAGTCAAAACAGATTCAGGATATGATGTTCCGGATGGACGATATTGAAAACAGGAGCAGACGGAATAACCTGCGTTTACGCAGTATACCTGAGTCAGTGGAAACACGGAATCTTTTTTCAACAGTAAAGTTGGTATTAAATGCTATACTAGATCAAACCTCAGAGACTGAACGAGTAATTGATAGTACTCATAGAGTCCCAGGAGCACATAGAGGAGACCCCACGAGACCTAGAGATGTGATTTGCCGACTGCATTACTATGCTGAAAAAGAGGCTATTTTGATAGCAGCAAGAAATAAGAAAACAATATTACATGATGGATACACAGTGACTATCTTTCCAGACCTTTCAAAACAAACGTTGATGCTTAGAAGGGCTGTGAAGCCAATATTGGAGATCCTACAGGAAAGGAAGATGAGATACAGCTGGGGGTTCCCTTTCCAGCTAATAGTACATAGAGATGGCAGAACAGCTAGATTCAGAACATTGGAGGATTTACCAGGTTTTTTGGACATTTTGGAAATACCCCCAATGCAATTGCCAGAGTGGCCAAACGAATTAAAAGAACTAAACGAATTAATTATGGGAGAGACAATACAAAGAAAGGAATGGACAGTAATAAGGCCATGTGGAATACATAAGAAGTGAATAAAGGGAAAGGGATTTGCTTTGAGAAGGACATGGGGAGAGAGGGGTGGGATTATTCCAGCTATATCTCCACATTTTCTTTCTTCTTTTTTTTTTCTTTTCTTTCCTTTTTTTGTTTGTTTTACTATGGTATTTTTGTGGCGTGGTCTTCCCACTTCCTATACTATGCTTGTCATACTATTCTCTTTAGATAAAACGAAATGAAAGGGAAGTATGGGTAGTGGGAAGGTATAGATAACTATGAATAACTATAAATATGAGTAAAATATAAAAGAGATAAGAAGAGAGCGGGCCGTAGTAAGATATATGATAAATGGCTGGGCTTGTGTTGGGCGGAGAGCTGGGTGGATGATAATCTGGCCTGTATAACCCAGATATAGCCTTCAGCTTTAGGGCTTTCTTGTATGTTTAATGTGGGACATAGGGTAAATGTCCTGTATTGATGAATATAGGAAATGTGTAAATGTGGTGGGAATGGAAGGTACAGGTGAAACTCGAATAATTAGAATATCGTGGAAAAGTAATTGCAGTAAGTGCTGCAAAAGGGGCCCAAACCAAGTACTGAGTACCTATGCATGCTTGTACTTTTCAGAGGTCCGATATTGTTCTATGTACAATCCTTGTTTTATTGATTGCATGTAATAATCTACTTTTTTGAGGTTGTGGATTTGGGGTTCTTGGGGTTTTCATGAGCTGTAAGCCATAATCATCACAATTATGACAAATCACGGCTTGAATTATTTTGCATTGCATGTAATGAGTCTATCTCATATATTAGTTTCATCTTTTAAGTTGCATTAGTGAAATAAATGAACTTTGCACGATATTCTAATTATTCGAGTTTCACCTGTATATCGAGATATAGAATGAGGTATAGAATGAGACGAAAGTGAGAGTATGGTTGGAGAGATTGATATATCTTGGAGTGCCGGAACAGATCGTCTGCAAAACTCACACGGAAGGTCATATAGCCAAATTAATGGACTAGCATTGGTTACCTTTAATGTAAGGGGATTTAATAAACAAAAAAAGCGTTGACAGATCCTATACCATTTCCATAAAAAAAAAAATAGATATCTTATATCTACAAGAAACACATTTTAAGACGGGTTTAAATCCAGAGATAAGAAATAAATATTATACGAAATGGTTTCATAGTACAAACCCAGATAAAAAATCAAGAGGGGTATCTGTGGCAATACATAAAAATGCGCAAATTAATGTGATATATACAGTCACAGACGAAAGAGGGAGATTTGTGTTTATGAAATGTATTATTCACAATCAAATGTTTACATTGGCAAATATATACACCCCTAATAAGGGACAATACAAGTATTGTACGCGGGTTTTGCGTAGATTTGAACTATATGGGGCCGGTACAAGTCTAGTGAT